CAATGGCCACCAGCAAGGGCCAGCTGCCAGCAAAACACCTGCGCACAGCTCTACAGCCACATCGCACTGCCCCGTGCAACTCCTTTCAGCAAAAGCCACCAGTCAAAAGTAGCCCCATAGAACGTACATCTAGATAATTATTTAAGCTCATTTTGCTTGTGACCTAAATCCTGTTTGGACACAGAACAGATGAGGTAAAAGCTGAGATGCTTCTCAGTCTGCTGAAAGTAGCAACGGGGAAACAATGGGTTGGAAGTTGAAATGCTCACCCTAATGACAGTTTGTGCCCTCTGGCCTCTGTCTATCTGCTCTGGGCCAAACAAAGCCAGTGATTGTTAGTCTGGTGTAAGTCAGAAACACAGTCTGAACTAAGGAGAACTGGGGTCTCAAGTGGCAGCTACCCAGCCTGCACAGCAGAGCAATCACACATAGCCCTCCTTACTGCAGCCAGAAGGGACCTACTGCATACACTTCCTTGGCCTGGGGCTGCAGCTGTCAGTAAAGTATTTACAACCCTTCAAGTAAGAATTTTACCCTCCAAAGACAGTTTAACTGAAGAATCATGCTGAACAGGCATAACCGTGGTAAAAGTAATGTACAAAATACAGGTTTTATTTTTACATTAATAATTCAAAAAGGCTTTATTTTTCAAACGAAGCTCTGCAGTTTAGGCTCTATTCTTCCTTTACAGCATATAGCTCGTGCAAAATTACATATATCACTGTGCTAGATACTCTAAAGACAGGCTGGGCAGCATACCACAACAAGAAAAAAACACCACTCTCTGTACTTAGGAAGTAAATTTGGTGCTAGCAGTCACAGCTGGACTACACAGCATGCACATTCTCTCTAGTTTCACACTCCATCAGTCACAGAACAAGAGCTCATCTTTCTTCCAAACCCTATGGTCTTGGTCCTGCTGCAAACATTTCATCCTAAGGCTCTGCCCACCTGCCCCGCTGGACCTGTGCAGCAAAAGCCATTCACAAGGCCTTTCAGCTGCAACAAGGCACCACAGCCCTTGGCATCACCAGGAAGGGGAGATTTCAGGGAGCCACAGATCTCACTTCCAGCAACTAGAAATGTTCCTCCAATTTCTAGCCTCATCCAAAGCCACCCTGAGTCAGTCTCCTATTTAAACGATACTTCAAAGCCTCCTGATTTCAACACAAGTTCTAATTCAGAAAACATTTAGGGAAAAATCCCAGCACCACTTGAGATGTGGGCAATTTTGCCACTGACTCCAATCTGAGCAGCTGTAGCCTGTGCTCTGTTGGCCGCATCCTTGCTTGGTGTCCTGGTCGTCTGTGACAAAATGTCCTTCAAGACACCCCAGCACACCTGGTAGTAGACATAGCGGGTAGGAAGAAGACAGGAGGTGTCCTGGGTAGGGGCCTGAGGTGCCATGGGATGTGTAAGGATGGAGAAGGAAAGTCCTCAGCATCTCTCAGCTCCAAGGCCATCACTGAGACACCAGCCAAAGCAAAGCTCAGAGGTCCCAACCTCCCACCAGCTACACCCACTCTACATATATACAACCTTCCCACTTTCCCCCATGCAGTCTGGCCTTCCTCAGTGCTGTTCCAAGTCCAGCCCTGGCAGCCAGCTCCTTCACTCCCTGCAGGCCCATGACAGCACACTGCATTACAGTGTGTCCTCAGACAGGGGGTGCAGCCCCAACCTGAGAACCAAACCACAAGACATGGCACAACAATGCTGCAGGTGGGAAAGAAACAACAAGGTGGTGTCAGAAAGAAAGATCAGGAACCCATGTCCCAAGTTTCTCCTTTCAGATGATGTCACCTAGGATCTCTCTTCCTGGAAACACTATTCCAGGGCACAAACTGTACATTAGCAAAAAGCCCCTACTCCTGAGAGTGGTGAAGCTCTAGGAGCATCCTCCTAGCAGTTGGGCACTCACTGGGTTGTCATGGGTGTTCTGTGCCTTGGGATGTAAAGACATGAGAAGCACCAGTCAGTGATTAACAACATCACATCTTGCAACTGGGATTTCATGGCCTCTGAAATTGTTCCTCCAGATCACGTGCCAACAACACCAAGTGAGAAGAAGCTGAGATCATGCACAGCTCACCAAGGAAAACTTCCCATGGAAACCTAGCCAAGCATCAAGCTTCAGCTCCCTTCAAGCCAGCGTGTGCACATCACATCACCCCTGCTTACAAGAGCAGGAACATCCACCCCTAGTTAGTGTGATTCCCAAAATTATTTCCTCCACCCCCCCCCCTTTTATTTTTCCCAACACTCCTGAGACCTTTCAAATCAAGAAATAAGCCCTAAAAAGAAGGTTGAATTTGTACCTTTATGGAGGTAAGCAATAGCCATACACATTTCACCAGGGTACAAAGCCCCAGGCACTAATGAGGAGCCCAGATGCAATCTACACCCTGGCACAACATGCATTTCCTCGGCAGCAGTGGTTTCTTTGCTTGGGAGATGCAGCTTTCAGGAAAGTTTCCTTCCCCCTAACACACTGCATGGGTATGAAGAACCCCACCTGCCTACTTTGCTCTCTGCTTGTGTAGTAGGAAGCCACACTCCTACCTGTATATCCACCAATCCAGCCTGATCAGTTCCCTGTCCAAAACCTGGTAATCAAGCAAAATACAGCTAATAGGCAATAATAATAATTAGCAATAATACAGCAATAGGTAATAGCTAATAGCAATTTACATTTCAGGGCATCTGCAAGTCACTGCTGGCTGCCTCCTTTTGCTCACCACAGTTCACTGTCAGAGCTCAGAAAGGAAATGCAGAGGCAGAAACCTCAGCCCTCTTTGAGGCAGGAGTCACAGGACAGCCTCCAGATCGGTGGATCCAAGTCAGAGAAACTCAAATTTCATGAAAGAAATTGACCTCTCTGTATCTTCAGATCCACCTATCTGGACCAACAGGGTCTACACAGGGAAATGCACTGCAGCATCAAGCCAGCATTCATCTCAGGACTTGGCACCAGCAAGCCCAAGGCCACTGAGTTCTATCAGGCTGGGAGAGAAATAACTCAGTGAACAGAAACACATCTTGAATGGAGAATGCAGCTGGGCCAGCTGGGATAGAATATCCAATTCAAAACTGAAGTCTAAAAACCTTTCTAGACAACAAAGGAAAACCATTCCATTCTCTCTGGAGATGCAGACAGGAGACACAGATACATCACCGCAATGCACCAACTGCAAGAGAAACGTTTGTGTCACTGGGAGAAGTGTGCAACCAGAAGATGTGAATATTGCCTTTGAGAACGACATCCACTGTAGACCACATAAAGGTTGAGAGGATCAATTAGCTGCATCCAAGCTTATTCAGCTTCACCACAGAGAAAGCAATCCAACCAACATCATTCAACTCTTTCAAATGGAAACCATTACTACAGCTTGTAGCCTCCCAAGAAAGCTTTAGTGCAGACACATTACTATCATTTTTGGCACTTTAATTATCATATCCAACCCAAAACATTTCCATATCCTCAGAACTAGTTACACTGTTAACCAGCCCAGGATCCCAGCCCTGCCAATGACTGCAGCTCCCATGAAGACTGAGTAGTGCCTTCTCAATGGACAATGTTGACAGTCTCTTGCACAAACACGATACTTAAGACATCACCAATTAACTGTGAAAGCTCTTCCATGCTAGACAGGAACCACTGTGACTTCAAGTGAATCTAAGACAGAGGTCCATGGAGATAAACACAGGAAAGTCAAAGCTCTATAGATGGCTTATGGTATAAACTCAATAGCTGAGATGAAGTCCCTTATTTAATGTACATGGGGAGTTTTGAGAGAGGAAAGGCTCCAAGATAGGGTTCTACAGAAAACTGTTAACAAGGATTTGATGATGTTGAGGAAGGCACACAGAAGGCGCATATATAAATGCTAGTTCTACAACCAGAAATAATACTCTATTTTTTAAGAAATGAGTGGAAGAGAGAGGAGGACTTCCTGGAAAGGTCACTTGTGTGGTAAGAAGAATCTTTTCAAGTACTCTCTATTTAATTTTTTTTTTAAATGTTGTGAATACCAGTGATAACTCATCAGAAACATGTTTCTAACTCAGTAAAAGCTTGCTTAAAAACCTCCAGCATAAAAGAAGCTACCAGAAATAGGAACAGACCACAGGGAATATATTCTCAGGAAGCAGAAGGCATCAAGCTGAAGGAAAGAGGCAGCAACATGCACAGCAAAGCAGAAGCACATTATAACCAAGGACACCCTGAAGAGTCCAGGCAGCAAGGGAAGTTTCAAGTGCAGTTTCTGACACTTGCCACTGACAAAACTCTAAAGACCTGGTAGGGAACTTGAAGAGTAAAACTTTGGGACATCTTCTCACACTAGCTGAATTCTGCCACACGAACAGGCTGTGGGTGCGTCACCCATCAATCTAGATTGGTGGATCTGAGGATACTAAGCTAATACTTTCTTTGACAATGTATTAGTATTATTTACTGGTGTCAGGAACAGCTCTGCCACACTTGCATTCCAACTTTAGATAGGGATATACTGAAGCTAGTGGTCTAGAAAATTCAGTGAGGGCTAATCACTGTACAACTCCCTTGAATCTCCATGTTAGTAGAATGAACAATGTTCCTCAAATTTTTGTTCTTTTTAGTGCTAAAGAATATAGCACAGTTATGTCTTTCACAAATAACACAAATTTCTCTAAATTGAAAAGTAATAAGCAGTATATAAAGAGACAGGAAAACGACAGTGAACAGGTCTTGCATTATTGGCTACAATTTATCTGAAGCTAATTAATTCTGGAAGACAGTAGCTCCAGTGTAAAACAAAGATCCCAAATTTAACCTTTTTTTAATTCTGGAGAAAAAAAAGGGCAAAAAAACACAACCTTATTCTATAGTGATTCAAACTGACTGATTTGAACAACTTAGAAATAACTCAAGTATTCAAAATGCATTTAAAATAACACTGGTTGTTGGCTAAATAATTTCAAAGCTGTTCCACTACTTATGCCTTTGGCTTTATACTCACATGTGTGGATTTTGGAAAGGAACTCCAGAAGTGTTTAAAGTAAATCTCGCTGTGGACTTGAAAGGTGGATTTGCAAAATTTAACTTCAGCGCTTTGCGTTTACCTGGGAGAAAACAAACAGAAAGTAAACTTTTTGTGAGCAACAAAATACCATTCTGTAAGAGCATTTGGAGATAAACAGAAAAAATAAACACACTTTAAGAAAATGAAAACATATTTTACAATGACATTAGCAAATCATAATTTGTGTTAGGGACACAGAAATGGAGAAATTGTGTCAATTCTCATCCCATGGTCTTCCCCCATCCCATTCCAAACCAGTCGCCAAACAGGTGTCCCATGGACTTTCTGTTGCAACTGGAGTGTCAGCATCAAGCCAGGACTACTAACAGCCACGGGCCACCTCCACACCCAGGCCCTGAGCTCCCTCCATGCACAATCACTCATTTAAATGGATTTCACACCAAGCTCAACTTCAGTTAGGTGGCAAAGGGAGCTCGACTTACTTGGCACAGCTTGGGCATGCCTACCAGATTCAGGATGGATGACAATGGAAAAGGGAAAGTACTGGATGTGTTTTACATGATACCCAACTGCACGAGGACTGACTGGTCTGCTGACCCCTCCTCTGCCTAACAGCAAGGAGGCACGATCAGGCTTCAGCGAGGATGACAGAGAGCTGCTGTGTGCTGCTTCTGCCAAGGGGGTCACTGCGCAAGGAGTACAGCTCAGCCTGTTAGACCAGGTGGGAGAAAGCTTTGGTCTGCAGTCAACTGAGAAACCATGAGGAACAACATACATAAAGAGAAACAGAAACATGGGGAAGGCTGCTGATCACCGCTCTAACCACCAGCTACGTATTTCTTATTAAAGTTGAGATGACCTGCACAAGCACCAACAGGATCAAAGATTACAAAGTGAGATGTCCCTTCCCAGCCCTTCCACTGGGCCACAATAGGTCCTGTCCCATCTGGCTGCAGGAAACCTATGCTCCTCCGTACTAAGCAGCCCCGCCTCAATCTCCACCCGCAGCTTCCCAGGATCCTGATCCCGAACCCCTCAGGCTTCTCGCTTCCTGGTGGAGACCCAAACCACTCCATGCTATCTGCAGGTTGGATACTGCAACCTCCCATCCCAGGCAGCACCAGCCTTCAGCAATCACAGAACCACAGAATTGTCTAGGTTGGAAGACACCTCCAAGATCACCTAGTCCAACCTCAGACTAAGAAGTCCTCCACTAAACCATATCACTAAGCACTACATCTAAACGTCTTTTACAGACCTCCAAGGGTGGTGACTCAACCACTTCCCTGGGCAGCCCATTCCAATGCCTAACAAACCTCTCAGTAAAGAAGTTCTTCCTAATATCCAACCTAAACCTTCCCTGGCGCAATTTTAGCCCGTTCCCCCTCGTCTTGTCACCAGGCACATGGGAGACTAGACCAATCCCCACCTCACTACAGCCTCCTTTAAGGTACCTATAGAGAGCAAATGGACCCGATAACTGAATTCCTCCAAGACCTTTCTTCTGCCTGCACCCTAAAGCAGGTATCAGATTCCCAAACATACTGCAGGCCTTTTGGGAAAAGCAGCAAACACTGCAGAGCACGAGGTCTGTGCACAAGCACTCTGTAGTTACTCTACCTCGCACAAAGAGATAGGTGTTTTTAGTAAATCCAAGACAACAGAAAGAAAAAAAAAATTAGAGGTCAAAGTCCTTACAGCAATTTCAGCTTGAAATATTACAAGGATAGTGACATTCATCTAAAAACAGCTTGATAAATCCAAATAGCTCAGAACTGGGGATCCACTCAAAAGAAATACAAACATCTGCAGCCTGGAACACACAAGAAAGCCTGTGACCAGCAAACACCCACCCGCACCCGGCTGAGGCTCTGCAAGGCCTGCCGTCCCAGTGACTACACTCTGCCTTGAGGTCTTTCTGCATGATGCAGTTGCTGCTGCTGGTAGGACTAGACCTACACCGTCCCTCTGACATCCCCAGTTCATAGTTATCACTTAGGAATGATCACCTAACCTTTGACTTCTAAATTATTAATTCAGCTTTGATCTTGCTGCAATACAAGAATCTATCTGGAAATATCTGCAAACGCGTTGCATTTTCTGAACATCACCTCATTTGTTATAAATGCCACCCAAGAAACTCACAAAATTCAGCAGCACGAAACCAACTATTCAAGGCTTTGCATCAACCACTTAAAATAAACAACACATCATCATTTTTATGTGACAATTCACCTGCAGATTTCCATAAAGCCCCAGCTGGCAGTACTGGCAGCCTTTCATCACGAATAATGACAAAGAAAAGGGACAGCAAGGATTTCCAGCCTGGGCACCCAACTGGCTGGGATGATGCCTGCTGCACTGCAGAGCTCAATGTACCTTTCTTGGCTATGTTACCCACATGAGACTGCACAGTAGGAGCTAGGCCGCAGGACTACAAGGAGACTAACAATAAAATACTTGTTTTGAAAAATCCTGAACACACTGCAACAGGGTGAGCAATGAACAGCAACACTCCTTTCAAAAGTGGAAGTATAGACCTGTTCATCAGAATATGGAGAAATGTCACTGTTCTTGTTGACAGCTGGTCTGCTTTGGGGTACTTTCCCTTCTGTTGCATGCATCCTCTAATTTTGTCTTGCCTTGTAAAAAATAAAACAGAAGTAAAAAAAAAAAAAAGTCTTTGGCTTGTACATTTGTAAGTGGAAGAACCCAAAATATACATCAACTGTCTTGTTTGAAGAATTGATTTATAAAGGTATCCTATCCCAAGGTATCCTTCAACAATGCTGGCATTTTCAAATTTAATCTCTCAAATCAAGTCTCATTTATCTTACTTTTTCCTATAAAGAATTATAGGAAACAAAAAAGCGTATCTATTCTAGGTTATACTTATCTCAGAGCCAAAACAGCTTTTCATTGCATGTTCATTTTCTATCCATAAGATGATAGTAATACCTATTTCAAATCATTACATTCATAAAACAATAGTATTCCTGTGTTCAAATCCATTAAAAAAAAAAAAGTCTGTTTTAGCACCAGGCTGCTGCATAGCACTGAGATAGCAGAGGATATTTTCCTCATGTCCACCTATCCAACAAAGGCACATCCCTTGGCATTTCATTGATCATAGCCGAAATGGACCCAGCGAAAAGCAGCTGGGGAAGCCTTACAAAGTACTCACAGGAGACCACCTACACAATGGCCACAGAAGAACAACCCAGACTCGTAACACACACTTGTTTCCTGCTGGTATGTAGATGCTAGGTTAAGTACATAATTATTTATGTGCTGCTATCCATCACCAGGATTAATCCAGGCACTTGGTTCTGCAGTTACAATCACTCTTTTTGAGGCTGCTTTACCATAACCACAGCCAACCAGTCTTCATGCAAGAGGAAACGTCTATCTGGTAGACAATGTGAAGTACGAAGTATTCCTTCAGAGTTATACTCTGTATTTTCACTTCACCTGAGACAAATACAAGTTCAACAAGCCTCTGAGTCACCTCCTGCTGGAGAAAAATCGATTTTTTCCTAGAATTTCCCTACATTCCTGCATGCCACACATCAATAACAATGATAACAATGTCCCAGTTATACATATGAAAATGCTCAGTTTCCAAGCAGTAAGACTTTCAAAGCAGAAGTAGATAAATGGATTTTCTTATAGGTTTCTGTCTTACAGGGATACAAACTGACCCCTGCTAAAGTGCTTTCTGCTTCGTTCAAATCTGCAATGTCAACCACTTGTTGTCATGATGCAAATGTGTTCTCTCCGGTTGGACACCAAAGTCCCTCTGCTGCTTGCAGAGCAGCAATACACCAGAAGCCAAGCCCACACTTTATTTCCTTATTCTAGAAAAAACAGAGAGGAAAAAAAGAATATGGCAGAAAGCAGCAGGCAAAAAAAAAAAAAAAAAAGGCAGAAAACCAGCAGGGAGGAAAAAAAAAAAAGGACATTGTAATGAACTTTGCAGCCTTTATATCTTCGTTTTGTAATACTAAAACAAGTTAAAGAGAGAAAATTATGAGGAAAGGATGTCAGGAGGAGGAAAGGATGTCAGGAGGCCAGACAGGTTGGGTGATATGCTTGGTTGAGAAGGAGGCTGGATGTTTGAGGCTAACTTTTTAAAAATGGAAAACTGCAATCCAGGTCCGACTTATTCCAGGGCACCTCAACACACAGCTAGTGCATACTCTCACCTGAGCTGGGAGAAAAAAAAAAAAATCACAAAAGAAACAACACAGAACTCTGTTTTTCCAAGAACTCCTACTATCTGCAATACAAATAGTTAGATCATGTCTGCAAACAAAATTCCTGCTTTGATGTTCCTGATGCTGATGTCCTGAATGCACCCAGGATTCACTGCTTACTGTCTGCTCCTGCCAGGACAGTGCTCCTTTCCCATAAACCCTTCCAACCTGCATTCTTTCAACTACATTTCCTTCCTTTCCAGTCTTGTTTATGGAGCACACTTGTTCAAGTACTCCAAAAACAGCACTAACTTGTGAGTAAAGCAATGTCCAGCTTTGCCCTCAAGACATACTATTTTTTCAAGAGAAAAAAAAAATCAAATCTTGAAACAAAACATGAAGAACTTCAGCACATACAGCAGTTTAGTTAGCAAGCCTGAATGGAGGGATAAAACTATTAACTAAAATTCCAGTTTTCCCAACTGTATCTACAGAAACGCACTTTGAAGAAAAACAGCACAAACATTTTCAGTACGTTTGTTACATTTCCCTTTAATGAAACCTGTGATTTAGAACAGTCCAAGAGCCAGAATTCAGATCCAAGATGACAACTTTCCATTCCAGGAACATACTAAGTATGCTCATTTTTGGAAGTCACCTCACTGGAGCATATATCCATGTCTACTGCCCCAAGCATGCTTCCACAAAAATACGGAAGCCCAGATCAGGCAGGAATCTGGGACAGTTACTGGTCATGACCTTCTCCAGTCATGCAATCATTACGAAGTAACACATTTCTACTGAACAAAATGCTAGCAAGACCTTTCAGTAATTTAACAATGGGAGGTGGTTCACAGTTGCACAGATGCTCTCCGCACCAGCG